AGCTGTCAAAATCTGACAGCTCCATTGTTTCCTATGGGGGAGAAAAAAATTCACAAAAAATTAACGAAAAGTCAGATCAACGCCAAATTAAGTATGCACACATTTTAGAAGGTGCACTAACGATTCCAAGCATTTAAAACCGTTTTTCAACATGTTAAGACACTTTTGTAATTGAAAAAATGAACATCGTTAAGTGAAGCAGGGGACCAAAAACCAAAAACATTAATCGAAGCATGGTCCCAAAATCGCTATGTGAAAATTGCCCATAGGGAAAAACGTTATACGAAGCACAATCTGACTCTGAAAAAATAAACGTTAAGCGAAAAAAACGTTAAACGAAGCAAACGTTATGCGAGGCACCACTGTACTGCAGTGCAGACTCTGCTCACAATCTGAGTTTGATCCTGGGTTCAGGTATCCGGCTCAAGGTGGACTCCACCTTCCATCCTTCTAAGGTCAGTACAGTAAACTGGGGGAAGTAGGGGGCAATATGTACCCTGCATAATTAGTAAACTGCCCAGGGAGAGCTGTAAGCACTGTAGTAGCACACATGGACCAAATACTGTAAATACCATTGCTTCGTTTTTCAGACCAGACCTTACCTTCATCTATTTACCTGCCCAAACAGACTATAGAAACAGTAATGTGATGGGAGGGGAAGTATCAGAACTCACAAACACAGAAGAAAATTCCTATTTTTGTATACAGAGTGTTGAAAAAAATATCCCTTTCCTGCAGCACGTGGATTGGCTCATTTGTTGGAATCCTCTTCTCTTCAAGACTTGCTGATCATGGGTGCTGAAGCTTATTCAAAACTATTCCTCTGATTTATTATTTGTTGATTAACTTTATGGTTCTCTTTGCCCCTCCATTGAGCTCAAAATGGCTTATGTAGCTGTATTCCATGTCTCTGCTTGATGCTCACGACAGCCCTGTGAGGCGGGCTCGGCTGAAAGAGAGTGAGCAGTCCAGTGGGTCATGCTGTGAGCTTCCTGGTTCAATGAGGACTAGGACCTTGATCCCCTGGTCTCAGTCGATCATGACAATTTATACAGTACTCTGTTCTTTCGATGGTTCTGGATGGCATAATTCTTCTCTAGCAAAACAAGGAAACAGATGGGACTTAAGAAGGATCTCACATTGCAACAGAAGGCAGGTTTCCTCCAAAATAAACCTAATTACTTCATATTTTACTATAGCTACTACCATAACCTCACCAGGCCATGGAAAAAGGCAGAGAGGTGAAAAGGCTATCATTCCAAAGCCGCTAAAAGACTTGCATGGCACCCTAATCGCGCCAGCACGGTTTAAGCTGATCTTAATAGTTGTCCATTTGAGGAGATTAAACCCATCGTAAACGGACAGATTGAATGGCGGGCCGCGTCACAGCGGTTGGAAAGGGTTCGTCGTCAGAGCAGTAGGTCACGGGGGTTGCTCTCAGAACGAGTGCTCGTGAGGCAACCGGCCTCTGTGAGGTGGGCAAAACCAGACCGAGGCAGCCCCTTTTGAGCTATAAAAGATGTGCTTTCAGGATTAGGGCGAGGGGAAGGTCCCTCTTGCATGGAATCGGAGCACAGCTATAGAAAAAGATGCTGTCCAGTAAGGGCCAAAGAATGGGAAAACCTTGAATGGGAAAACCTTTTCCGTTGGCAGGAGAGAATTTCGAGTCAAGACACGGAACGCCATTACCTTCCCACCGAGGTGGTACCTATTTATCTACTCACATTTTTACATGCTTTTGAACGGCTAGGTTGGCAGGAGCTGGGACAAGCGACGGGAGCTCACTCAATTGTGTGGATTCGATCTTACGACAGCTGGTCTTCCGACCTTGCAGCCCAGAGGCTTCTGCGGTTTAACCCCCAGTGCCACCATGTCCCTTTTTAAAGCTAAAGGCAGGGTTAAAAAAATATATTTTACATCAAATAATACAGTTACATCCGAGAGTTATACCAACGTCCCCCAATGTCTTGGGCTATGATACCAATGAGCAGTGTCTGCTTTCCAGAGGTTGTGAGACTACAGCTCCCATCTGCCCCAAATGAAAATAGCTAATGATGAGGAATGCTCAGAGTTGTCATGGTTCCTCAGTCTGGAGGACCATATTTTTGGGGGGGAGTTGTTTCATCCTTGACCTACAGGGTCCTGATTTGGGGCTATCCAGAAGCACCTAATGGGCTCCTGAGAAAAACCAGACGGGTTCTCAACTTTCAGCCCTCCAGATGTTAGCAAAATGCAATGGTGTGAAGCTCCCAACAGCCTGGCCAATGGTCAGGGAAGCCGGGGGGCATCAAAGGTTGCTCTCCCACCCACCCCATTAGATGTATCTTCAGTGGTCGCCCAGAGTGGACGACCAGACCAGATGGGCGGGATACAAATCAAATAAATCAAATAAATTTTAAATAAATAAATAAATAAAATAAAGTGTGATCACCGGTTTAACCATCACCACCACCCCTGGGGGTAAACCACAACCGACAGCCTGGTAGTGGTGAAATGAGCCCTCGGTAGAATACTAGTTCTCAAACTTTGCCCCCAGATGTTTTGGGAAGTGCTGCCTAAAACATCTGGAGAGCAAACAGAGAGAATGTCCCCTGTGCTCTTTCCTGATGCAAAGATGCAAAACCCAAACAGAAGTAGGTACAAATTATATACATTTTATTTCAATCCGTTTTAAATAACATTCTTCAGTATAAATCCCAACACGTCTCCTGAGTCCCGACCATACCCATGCCTTGTTTTCCCCCCCTCCCTTTTCATTTTCCTTAAATAACTGCTTTGTTACCTCCAAGTACAGTTGGAACAAAGGGGGGCTATGAAAATAATCACTGCTGGATCATAGCTAGCAAAGCGAGTCCAACTGAGACTAAACCTCTGTTAGATGAGTTAAAAGGTCTAAATAGTCAACTGTTTTCAGAAATTTAAATGCTGCCTAAAACAGATACTCATTCCAGATCTGAACGATGCCCTTGGCGTGGAACAACACCCATTGTCAGTGTAGCATGTTAAAGATCCAGAATTACAAAGGCCCAGGCAAACCACACTCCTGGGAGGATAAAAATCACCGAACCGGGTTCATAAATTTAATATATTATTTGGTTTGATCTAAAACAGTGCCCTATTTCACTAGACAACTCATGCGCCCGCCCTACAGTTCAAAAAGTCATGCAGTTATTTCTAGCTATGTTCACCATTTAGAGTTAAGTGTGCTTTAAATAAAAATAAAATTAAAAAACCAGCCCTGCCTGGGTGCCTACATCGGCGTGCGCCTGCTCCGTCACATACCGGCGGAAGAGCATCGCTAACTCCCATGTAAGGCCATCCATTTCTCAAGATTGCCAAAAAAAAAAAAAAAAACCCACAGCAAGGTTGCCCTTGGAAAAAAAATGCTTTGGGGTGAGTAACATTCTCCACTTCCTGCCATTCAAAGAAACCGGACTTCTCGACCCAGCTCAGAATTCCCACGGAGGTGGTTTAAAATCATAGCCAGAACAAGATGCACCGGCAACTCTTCAGCCCCTTCAGAGACACAACAGTAACGACAACAGTCCCTCCCACATACGGTTGAGCTGCGTCCCTTGAGCCTGCGAACCTGCCTGCCACTACATCAAATTCGTACTCCCTCCCGGGCATTTCTCCCTATCCTAGCCCTCACGGGAGACGCCCGAGGGTTCTCCCATCCGAGAGAGGGATGGGATCAAGCACGCGCCATCCATTCCACCATCCAGAACAGGTTATCTTTTCCTGGTTTCCTCTAAGGGCCTTTGATCGTCTTGGTGGCACTCCAGTCTTCCTTGAAAGAATGAAAATACTCAAAGAAAACTCTGTGTTAGACTACGACTCCCAGAATCCACACAAAAGACCTTCTCAATATTTTATACTCAAACTGCTCTTAAAACTACACGTCGGCAGAAATCCTAGAGTTCTAAATCCCAAATCGCTCACTTAAAGTGTTCTCAGCCCTCAAGATTATTTAGGGTATCAACCTCATTGACAGACACTATACACTGTAAATTAAATCAAACAATGTAAATTGCAAATTAAATCAAATTAAGCTTCCTGAGACCTGGAGAAGGAATATATATATATTGCATATATACCGTATTTTTCCATGTATAAGACTATATGTTTGTCTAAAATCTTTAGACTAAAAATTGAGGGTCGTCTTATACATGGAAGTAAGCAGAGGAGAGAACAAAAACAAGTGGAGGGGAAAGCAGGGATCAAAGCAATCCTGCAGCACTTTGATCCCTTTCCCCCTATACTTGTTAAGCCCCACTTAGATTTCTTAATTATAGGGGCATCTTATACAAGAAAAAAATACGGCATATATTTTGCCAGAATTCTCTACTAGGGAAATGTTACAGAGAATCTCATTAACAATTCCATAACTGAAAGCCATCTCACCACCTCTGGCCGTTAAATTCTCAAAGTCCGGGCAAATTGGAGCAGTGGCACAGGAAGAGAGAAGGCTTTGTAGAGGCATCGGTCAAATCAAGTCTCTCTGGAAGCAAAACCGACGAAACAGAGACTGCTCCATTTTGGCCCATCGTGGGAAGGCAAGATTCTCTGGAAAGGACAATAACACTGGGAAAAATCGAAGGCAGCAGGAAAAGAGGAAGAGCAAATAGGAGATGGACTGACTCCCTAAAAGAAGGCTTGAGTTTGCAAGAGCTGAGCAGGGCAATTGAGGACAAGACATTTTGGGGATGGCTCATTCATGGGGCCAGAGGCAACTTGATGGCACGTAACAAGAGCAGGACCACTGGGAGAGGCCCCACAGCTTTGTTTTCCTTGGGGGTATAAGGTTAACATCAAGTAAGTGGACAAGCGAGTGAGCTTCACCCACAGCATGGGAGACGGGAGCACTTTCGGATCCTGATCCTACTTACTGCACAGAGGCAAAGCAGGTGGGGCACTAGGGTGCAGCTGTCATTCAGAGGCCAGCCGGACGACCAAACTGCCTGCCTTTCGGAGACCCACCCCAAGTCTTTCCAGAGTGGCCAGTGATGGGTGCAGGGACGCCAAAGCCAGAAGGCGCGGCCATCGGGCTCATCTCCCCAAAACCACATAGCACGTGTTAAAAGGAGACTTTTAAAAAAAAGGCATACATATCTGGAAACCTTTTGGTGGGCAAGGTTCAAAGCCAAAAAAAAGGTTAGAGGCCCCCCCCCATACTCAATTTCCACTCTCTCTTTTTCTGGTACCTTCTTTCCAATCCCTCTTTGTCTCCATACACACCCACGCCCAGTGGGCGGCAAGCAGAAAGGCAGCTTCCTCTGGTCCAAAATTTGACCCAATCCCATTGGCAGAGCACTTTTGAAACGGAGACCGGCCGACGGCAGGACTTAATGTACACTGAGCACCGCGGCTGGCCCGGCATGACTTTCGGCACCACCTTTCCCCCGCTGGAGACTGCGCTGGCCCTTCCACGCCATTTCCCGAACGCTGAATTTTGTAAGCACCCCCAAAGAAGCCGAGAAGGCTGAAGAGCAACAGGCTGGGGGGAGTCACGTGGGTGCAAAGGAGGAGGGAAGTGAGCAAACCATGACAGCTTCAGGAGATTCCTCTCGTGTAGAAGCACACACACACACACGTGCGAAAAAGTGAACAATGGAGAACCTCTACCTTGCTGGTACTGTAGATTCCTTTCATGACCCAGAGTTGAGATGATTCAGATTCCCAAGATGAGTTCGGGGAGGTTAGAGGTGAGGTCTCTGGAGTAAGCAAATGGTAACAACCAAAGAAGCTAAGAAAAACGAAAAAGCTACGATCATCGTCAGCTCCTCCTAACCTCCCTACATGTTCGTTTCACATTCGGAGAATACATTTTCCATAACAGTAACTGCCAACTCCCTCTGCCATTAATATCCGATTGCCAAACAGGTACAAGAGCCACAAAGATGGAGTTTGTTTGGGGCTCAGGAAGGAGAGGAGAGCAAAGCTATAGAGATTCAAACAAAGCAAGCTAGAGTAATGCCCAAGTTAAGATACAGGAATTCGTCTTATCAGAAGAGGGGGTAAAACTAGCAAAGATTTTTTTTTCCTGGAGGCCCAGCTCCAGCACCGATTGCCATCAAAATTTACAGCACTTTTAATACAATACTTGCTTCCTTTGTTGGGTTGTGGGGTGGGGGGGTTGGTTGGTTTTACAATGTCGTGAACCACTGTACAGATAAAACCTAACGGATAAAACGCAACCGTGATCTTTTTGTACAAAGAGTTACAAGCGCACCGCCAAAGATCCTTCTTTACATTCTGTGTTACACGCCATTTTCCTCTTCGGTGTAGAAAATCTGTGAAAACGCGTGGCCAAAATGCATCCATCACCTCCTTTGGGAGAACCCAAGTTCAATAAAGCTAAGAAAATAAACCGATTCCGGCGTTATTATTATTTTTAAATAGCATTGGTCACTTTGTAAGGAAAGCCTCTGAACAAAGAAGAGAGGGTGTTTCTCCACACACACACACACAAACACACACCAGTTCTTTTTTCCAAACTCACAAAATCAAAAAGAGAAACAAGATCTTCGTTGTTAGGCTGTGCATTAGCACATTTGAATTGCTCCATAAAACTTAAATATACATATATATATATATTCATCAGATTTTCCTTTAAATAGCAAAATTCTTTCAAAGCATGAAACATTTGCATTTTTCTCCCACCTCTTTTCCAGGGGGGGAAAAAAAACCAAAAATCTTCTTCCTATAATAGTAACCGCTACTTTTCAAATAAGGGACACTTCCCTTTGGTTCCAGCATCCACAAAGTCTCTCCTGCGGTCCGAGATGGCTCCTCAGTACGTTGCTGTCGTTTCATACAAAAATATACTGTATTTCAAAGCAATGCCTTTCTTTCATTTATTTATTTTTAAAATACGTTTCAAGATCCATCATGGCACCCAACGGGTTCAGATGGGAAACACTGAAGCCAATATAAGTCTGTAACTTTCTCCTGGAACTCGTTCTTCACACCAGCCATCAGTGCTTTTTTTTGGGGGGGGGGGGGAACGACACCAAGTGTAGCCTGCTGGCAGCTCAGTCGGGAAAAGGGTTAAGTTCCTTCCACTGATGTTTCTCCAACTGGTTCTTCTCCCGCAGGGACCTGCATCGGCTTCCACTGTAAATTTTGCAGTCTCTCCCGCCAGTTTTCGTCAAACTTTGTAATTATGCATGGGAGTTGCCAAGGTCAGCTGGCCATTGGGAGCCACCTCGTTCCCATCATCCTCCAGCAAGCCCGAGACATCGGCGTTGGGGATGCTGTCGTGGTAGCTGCTGAAGCTGATGTTGTCCTCCTTGAGCTCAATGGTCCAAAACGGAGCGTTCAGCTTCCGGTTCTGATACTCACGGTACATGTAGACGGCCCCCACGAAGCCCATCAAGAGGACCACCAGGATGATGATGACGGTCAGGATGATGATGTTGAACTGAGTCCACGAGACGTCGGCTAGAGTCGACGTGCTGTTGTCCGAGGAGCTGATGGGGAAAACGGTCGGCGCCGCGGTCGGGATGGAGGTGCTGTTGGGAGCCCGTGCAGTGGACAATACGGGTGGGCTCACATCAGGAGGAGAAGGGACAAGCCCTCTGGCAGCTGGGCTGACGCTGGACTCTGCAACGTTTTGTGAAAATACAAACACAGCAAAGCCAGTTTATTGTTATAAATATTTTGAAGGTGGACAGGATTATTTTGATGACAAAGATTTTGATCACCAAGAGGAAAATAACAGCCACAGAATAACACAGCAAATCAAGGTTATTTGAAGACGAATGAGACATTACCTCCCAATAATTACTATAATGAAGTTATCAATTCAAAAAGAAAAACATCAGGATTGTTCCCCCATCTACCCTCTTCAACATCAGAAAGTCTGTACCTACTGTGAGCGCAGCAATGACACAGAGACTGTTTCCCCCACTTGTTCGTGCCCGGTTTGTTTTATCCAGTCTTCCCTATTGGCCCCCTGTCTATATTTTCGATGGCTTCTTCTCGACTGATTGATTTTAAATCAATAAAACCTCTAAGATGAGTCTGGACAGCGCCTCCCGTGTTTTTATGGTGACTTACTCTCACGGAGCGCATGAGTAAAAGCCCTAAAACAGAGAGGAAATGTTTTTAAGTGAACCCTAACCGGGGGGGAGAAAAAGCCCTCGTGGTACCTTTCTTGGTGCAGTTCCCTCCTTCCGAGCTTCTGGCGTAGCCCTCTTGACAAAGCTCGCAGCGAAACCCGGCTGTGTGGTAAAGGCAGCCGAGGCATTCTCCCGTATCCGACTTGCAGATCCTCGGGGAGCGAGCCAGGTCGACGTTCCCGTTGCACTGGCATTCGACGCAGATGCTGTCGGAGCTGTAGTAACCGCTCTCGCATTGGTTACAGAGGGGCCCCGTGTAGCCAGGCCGGCACTTGTCGCAGGTCGGGGTGGGGTGACCAGGCCCTACAGGTGAGACGATGGGAGAGGCCAAACGTTCATTAATCCCCAGACTGTTCAATCTGATGCTATGTTCTGAACACCCAAAGGAATCTGTTAGGCTCCTTCTCAAGCTTTTTCTTTGGTCAATGATTTCAGTGGATAAATCTTTTGCAACTGTTCCCGTTCTTCAGAACGAGAAGACAGAATGTCTCCCGCCTAATTACGCCTGTCACTTACCAGGTCTCCATTTTCACCTCGCTTTTTGGCACACCCTGCTCATAAGAGACTTGCTTGCCCATTTTGGACCCAAGTTGGGTTTCCTCCCTTCAGATGCTTTTTGGGGGCATTCCTTAGACACCTGCTCCCCCTACCCCAGTTGGTTCTAACCCTATGGGTTTCTGGAAAGGAGATTTCATCTCTCCATGCAGCTGGGCAAAACAGGTTGGCTAACACCCCCTCCCCCCGCACTATCACGCTTGCTCTGAATTTTAGCGGATGCCGAGCAGAATTCCCCTAGATGTCACGAAAGCTTTCGGGAAACCATCTTACTTATTTGGCAGCTGCCGGTGGAAGTCACGGTCGAGCACGGGCAAAGGAGACACTCGTGGTGTTGCGAGTTCTTTTGGTAGAACTGTGCTTTGCACTGCTCACAGTGGGCACCCTCCGTATTCCCCTGACAATCCTGGCAAGTACCTATTGGGGGGAGGGGGGGAAGAAGGCAGAAATCAGAAACATGGAAACCTCATGAGTAACCCAGCTTCAATCAAGTTTTGGATTAAAAAAGAAAACTCTGTGTGGGTTTCACAGCCAGGGTCTGCTCTTCTGAATGGGTAAAGCCAGCCTTATAGGCTCAGAACATGAGCTCTTCTGGATTTTCTTTCCCGCGGAGGCCAGGCTTCAGAACGCTCCCCGCGCCTGGACTTGAACAGACACGACACAGGAACCTCTACAAAGCTACTGCACCACGCCAACACCTAAGTAAGAGACAGCCTGGAAATTCTGCACAGGCTGTTTTTTTATATTGTGGGATGGACAAACACAGCTGCCTTCAACATCCTCCAGCAAGAGCGAGAGAGAATCTCATTGCTGCTTCAAAGCTAGCCGCTAGAGGGAACCCAACACCCACCTCTGGAACAAGGGACTCGGAACAGTTTTGTTAAGTGGGATAGTGCTGAAGTTCCAAGCTGGGTGAGGTTTTTGACCAGAACAGGGTTGCGGGGGAGACCTCACCCCAAAATTTCAGTGTAAGACCCTTTTCTATCCAGACCCTAAGCCACTGCTTATATGTCATCCCTTTCCGATGTCCAGATGTGTGTGCCATGGAGTTTAAAGATTTCCTATTCCTATTCTGAGGTGCTTATATATTTGGAAAGATTTAAATATTTGCAATATAGGTAAAAGTTTGCCATGACTTAAAAAAAAAACACCTACTTAAATATGCTGCCTTTGGGGAAGGCTTCACTGTGCCTAAGAACAGAGCCGGCCACCTTTTGGATTCTGCCAGTTGCTTGTGGTCTTCATCCCCCGACCCATCCGCCAGGGTGTGACACAGCACTCCTAGAAACCCCAGGAACATTCCCATTTCCATCATCACCTTAGGACTGCAGAGCTGGATGGGACCCTAAGGATCATCAAGTCCAGCCCCTGTCAAAGAGGCCCACCGGGGATTCAAACTCCCAACCTCTGGCTCTGCAGCCAGACATCTCTTACCTGTCCAAGGGTCACATTTTGCAGTATGGTTATTGCACCGACACAGTTCACAAGCCGTCCCGTTGAACTTGGAGTACCCATCTTCACACTGCTCGCATTTTTTACCGGTGGCTCCGACTTTACACTGGCATTCTCCCGAGCTGTTTCAAAACAAGAGCAAAAAAATCTCAAGATGGTGAAAGAAGACGTCTCGGCATCACTCCCCAAACCAAGCTGCTCTCGTGAGCGAAACTAAAGAGAGGTCAAGATGGGAGTTCATCTTTGAGAAGAAGAAAAAACTATTGTTTTTGGTTATGCCCCCAGAGATGCAAACAGTGACCGCTGGGACACAGCGGTGGTTCCTATTGTTTTTGGTTATGCCCCCAGAGATGTAAACAGTGACTGCTGGGACACAGCGGTGGTTCCCAACCTTGGGTAACCCAGGTGTTCTTGCACTACAACTCCCAGAAATCCCCGCCAGCACAGCCAGGAGTGAAGACTTCTGGGAGTTTTAATCCAGGAACATCTGGGGACCCAAAAGCTGGGGAAACACTAGACCAGGGGGAAAAAGCAGGCGACAGGTAAGGAAGCAAAACCAATGTCCTCTTCTGGCCCAGAAAGTGCAAATTTACAATGGCCAGATGGAAAAAAGAAACAGTTCTATCGTTATTTTCAAACCCAAACCCACAATTTTTTTTAAATTCTGGCCTCTCCTTACCGCCGGGCACACCCTACACGTTCTTGTTTCACCTCCCAAATTTTGGAAAAGAGAAGAAAAAGCCTCTTTTGATATTATTGAAACTGTCCAATACTTGCGTTTCAGAAACTCTTTTAAAAAGGGGAGAAACCTTACAGTTCTGCAGGATTCTTCATCGGTTGTAAAAATTAGATGGGGCGAAGCAACACGGAAGTCTGCAGCTTTACAACTTCTCTGCTTTCTTGGTTTCCTAAATTTTCATGAGCCACAAACCTTGTTCCTTCCTTCCTTCCCACCCCCACCACGTCTCTGCTTTCCATTGTTTCTGTTTTACACCCCTGTACGTTGTCTACAGCTTTGCAGCATTTTTTTTTACTTCTTCCAAAGAAAGACTGATCCAAATGCAGATTCTGGTTTCATTTTTCCTGCAGGCCATCACAGCTAATTTTTTTTTTAACAACTGGATGTGGAAGTCTGTTTCCCTTTTTCTCACATTAACCTTTGGTCTCGGCAGCCCTGGATTTAAAACATCCCAGCCAATCCTTCGCAGGAGAGGAAGTGATTAAAACTTTTAAAAGCGGGGATCGGTTGTGGGGAAGTCCAGGTTTAAGGCCTCTCTTGGCAGGATGTTCATCTCTATACCGAAGGCTTGACACCGCTGGCGGGGCGAGCAGAAGAATTAAATCTTTCAGCTTTGCTGGCTTATCAATGAAGCTATAGAATAAAGCTCATGACAAGACCCTCTTTCATAGCTCCCCGTACAGTAAAGACCCCTGAATTCTTTTCCAAGGAAAGGTCAACCATGAAAATGTGCCCAAATGCCTCATTCACATACACAGAGGCACACAAACACACACAGAGAGAGAATGTTCAAACCCACAGATTCACAGAGAGAGAAAAATCCGAGTAGGATCACTACTTGTGCCCCCGAAAAATCCCTTCTACAAGCCATGGGGAAGTCACGAACGACCACAACTGGGGCACAGACGCAGGGAATTGATCGGCGCTCATCGATTTCAGGGTTCGGCGCACGTCTGTCCGTCCGTCCAGACTGCCTCTGCTCTCAAACGGCCCAAGCTTTGTCTTCATCTCCACCCAAAAAAACAGCCACCCCCTTTTTCCTTCCTCTTCTGCCATGGTGGAGGCTTCAAGCCCTTGGGTTTTTATTCCATCTTCCCCAACCCCGGCCACAAGTTCTTGTCCTTTAGGTTTTAAAAAAAAAAATCCACAGACCAGCCTCCTCTTTGCCGGTCCAGAGAAGAGAAAAACCCAACGGACCGGCTGCGGGAATGGGATGTCAAGCGCTTAAGTAAATCCCACCGGGTAAGTGGGTCTACTCTAGTGGGAAGCAGGCCTCGGACGCCGTCCGGCTTTCAAAAGGCGCGCACGTTCTCCGACAACAGGGCAGCAGACGAAAGGGACGGCAGCTCAGGAGCGAAGCCCCTCGCTCTTACACGCACCCGAGGCCACCACGGCAGCATTTTTCTATTTCCTGGTTTGCTTGTCACGGGTTAAAAGGGGAAAAAAAACTCCACTTGGCTGCCAGTTCAGAGCAGACCAAAACTGGGAATCACATGCCCGCAGCTGTCGGAGCCCCTTAAGAGTCTCCTTCCTCCTAAAGATCCCCATGTCCCTCTCGTTTTTAAAAGGAAAATCACATCTGCAGAGGGTCTCTAACCAATGTATTTTTCCTCTTGGACCCTCCGGTGCCCTCAAACTACAACTCCCAGAAGACCACGAGATGGGAAAAGCAGGAGTAAACCCAGAGCAAGGGGGACCCAAGGATTTAACTACAAAACCTCCCCAGGAGGGAATGGACGGTGTTCTTATGCTGCCCCGTCAAAGCTCCGGTGTTGGCTTGAGAGGTTCATCTTATTTAAAGTACTTTAGATGCATTGAACTCTATTGGAGCTACTGTTAGCAATGACTGTCCTTTTTTGCTGTGCTATCTGGAAACGTCGCCCATCCAAGCCCCTGACCGGACCTGACCCAGTTTAGCTTCCAAACTCCGTTGAGGCAGAATATGTTTCAGGAGGGAATCGGCCCTACCGCCAGGCAGAGCGAGGCGCTCCCCCTCAAACAGCAGGACTTTTTGCATGTACGGGGGGGAAAAGTCACTATTTAAATCATCAAATGTAGCGAAGTGGATGCTGTGGGTCCCTCTGCATCTGGGCAGCAAAGTATCTGCCCCAGTTTAGCTTCCAAACTCCGTTGAGGCAGAATATGTTTCAGGAGGGAATCGGCCCTACCGCCAGGCAGAGCGAGGCGCTCCCCCTCAAACAGCAGGACTTTTTGCATGTACGGGGGGGAAAAGTCACTATTTAAATCATCAAATGTAGCGAAGTGGATGCTGTGGGTCCCTCTGCATCTGGGCAGCAAAGTATCTGCGGCCGCTTTTACTATTTAAATCATCAAATGTAGCGAAATGGATGCTGTGGGTCCCACTGCATTTGGGCAGCAAAGTATCTGGGGCCGCTTTTCTCTCGCTGGCTTCGATGGGCTTACAATAAGTATCAAGCAGTCGCAATGCAACCAACGGCTTGGATCGAGCGGGAGAAAAGAAAAGGGCTCTTAGTTTTCTCTCCGAGGGACATTAAAAACCCATTCAATAAGATTTAATGTCTGAAACAGAATTTCCCTTATTTTTCTTCCCGCCAGCCTTACGCGACGGTTCGACAAGCCCACAGAGGAGCAATTGTACCGGGCGGTTCCGCGGAGACACGCGTCTAGCAATATTTCCCAACCTTTAAACTGAGCTTTAATGGAAACATCCTAACCTATGTGTTGTTGTTTTTTTCCAGGTCCATTAATCTGGACATTGGGAAACCGAGGAGGCAGAAATAACCTATTAAAGCAAAGAAAAAAGTCAGTTTCAAATTTGTTATCTTTTTCCTCGGCGAGTTCAGCTGAGCTCTGTGGAACGGCTGGCGCTTAACAACACGGCCTGTGTTTGCAGGACGCCCGCCCCCCTCCCTCTTCGCCTGGGCATGTGAAGGTCCCGGGAGCTGCCCTCCGCCTCCGACATGACGCAGCGGAGCCGGGAGGGGGGGAAAAGCCGCTTTCTTCTCCCCCAGAAACACTGCCGTATTGTGAGGGCAGCATTCCTCGCTTTCTGCCCACGGAGGCGACTGGCCAGGGTGAAATCGACCAAAGGAGCCCGGACCCGTGGCCGCTTGGAAGAGGCGGGCGTTTCTGGCAGAATGTCAACATGCCAAGCGTGCCAGGGTGGGCGTCGCAGCCCCTTCGCAACGCTGCCTAAACCGTTCAGGACCAGGCACGGCCCGCTCCGGGGTTTCGGGGACGGCTGACCTCAAAATGAGCTTTGTCGTTTGAGGGTCACCCATGGGCAGTGGTTGGAAGACACGATGGAACAGGGGGGAGCCGATCTCCCCCTGATGTCTGCCGGTCAAGGAGTGTTTTTGGGGGTTTTTTTGAGATCAGAGCTTGCTTGGGACTACAAAGCCCATCATCCCCCTCTCCCCACCAATTCATCTGTTGAGCCAGATCAGAAACATCCTTCTCAACATCTCCCATTCTTACAAGGTCAACAAAAGTTTAGAGACAGCTGGGTGCAATCGGTGGGGCCTGCAACCCGTTTCCACCAGTGGGACCAGCAGCCGCCTGGACTGCTCCTGGCCCAGCCTCCAGTCCGCCATGCCCTCTTCCAAGACACACCATGCATGCCATGCCATTTTTGCCATTCCCAGACCATTCACTCATTTGGCTGACCGGGGGGTGGGGGTGGGAGGTTAACCGTCCTCCCATCCATTCGGATTCTCACTCTCTGCGTTTTGCGTATCATCTTTTCTTCTCTCTCTCTCTCCTCTTTTTTCCACAATTTTCGGCTTCTTCCAAAACGGCCGAGATGTCCCCCAGGAGAGGCCCCTGTTACATACAGCACTGATGTTACCTGTCTGTCATGGGTTTGGAGGGAAAGTTCCAGCCTATGGGGAGTGGAAGGCGGGACATAATTGCTTATGAAACGATCCACGTTTTTGCGTAGGGCTCTGCGGACTGGCAGGGCCCGATCCACTAGAGAATGCAGGAGGATTGGGCTGGGATGCTTTGAGACACACATGTGCACTTGTTTAAATGGAGGTCCGTCTGGAAATCAATTCTTAACCTTCACAGAGGATGCTCCTGCCCCGGAGCAGGTCCGGGAAACACCTCTGGGCAGCAGAGAGGTCAAACCTCTGCTTCTCCATAAATTCTGATTGGAAAAGGATCCGTCCAGCCGCCACCCCCACCTCAGGACACTTTCTGTCTGGTTTTTTAACAGGCAGTTTCCAAATTATTCTTCCTGCCACTACTGTGCCGTTTTAGCACTGCATAATGCAAGAGAGAGAGAGATGAGCTTTAGAATCAAGGGTTCTGGTGAATTCTCCACCCACATTATGCAGAAAGCTCTACTTTCACTGAAAATGGCTATTTCCAGGAGTCTTCTTTTCGTTTTAACCAGCATGGATTCCTTTTCCAGAAAATGTATGCATTACAAAATGGGAAATGTGCTTAAAATCAATGGATTAAAATCAATTATTTTAATAAGGGCTCTCCGTGTCTCCAGCTAACGTTTGAATCTCCTTGATTTAAAACCATGCTGGGGTACTATACAGTATCTCCTATTATCCCTCACTTTCAGCTAGGCTGGAAAGAGATGCAGTCCAATAACTTCTAGAGATCATGAGTTGCCCATCCCTATATTAGGATCAAACACTGAGGCTCAAAATGTAAATCACATTTAACCTTCCATTAGAAGGGGAAATTCCTTAGCTGCTGAAAGCATCTGAGTATCGCTGCACAACGTTTTCTCAAAACACACATTTTTCCCCCTCTGACTGTCCTGCCACACTGGGTTGTTATGAAGATTACACAGAAGAAAAGATACAAATGCTGCTCTGCTTTTGTGGAAGGAAGGAAAAAATGGGTGCCATATTTGAATACGAATATATAAATTTATCATTAATTATGAATTTTTTAGCTATTCTACACGGCCTTAAGTCCCTTCACCGGAAGTCAAACTGGGTGTGAATGAAGTAAACAGACAAGAAAACAGGAAAAGGCATCCTACACAGACAGGCCCTCCTCCCATCTCAATCTCTTAATAATTAGTCTGTGCAAAACCAGAATGGGTCCAGCGAGGTCAGCGTCACTTCCTCGGGACCGCTTGTCAGGTCAATGTTCACTTCGAAAATCAAGGCAACGCTCCAGGCAGGGGACGGGCTTCCCCCCCACACCGCCAGGCCGCACGGCCGGCCAGAGGGACTCCGTTCATCATTAGCCCCTCGGGCCGGTGTGGGTGACAGGATGCCTGGTCGGAGGGGGGTTCCCAAAGGGTGTGGGGAGCCTCTCCATCCGGTGCTGGAGGCAGGAGGTTCCAACAACTCCTGCTGGGGGCAGAGGGACTGTCCGCATACACCCCCCCCAAAAAAAAACAGGAGTTGCCTGTCTTTGCCAGCAAAAGGGCCGGATCCTGGACATTGGAAGTGGAATGCACACGGAGAAGGGAGAACGAAGTCGCCTCCCTCCTTACCTGTTGCAGGAGAAGGACACTGAGCCCTCGGGGTGGCACTCGCACGGCACGCAGCGCCCGCCGCTCCGGTCCCGATGGTAGCCGTCTTCGCACGCGTCACACAGCTGCCCCGTGTACCCCGGCCGGCATTCGCACTGGCCGGTGGTGGCGTGGCAGTCACTGGCGCTGAGGCTCCCGACGGAGCTGCAGTTGCAGAAGACGCCTGGAAAACAGGAAGGCGGGAATGAGCACCGAACGAGGGTCGAAAGCAGAAGCGGGCGCAGCGTTCCTGTCGGGCTAACACCGCGGGCAGGGGGGGAGGACACACATTTTGGAAGCGAAGCAAGGCGAGAGCTGGAGAGTTCTTGGATGGGAGATCAACCAAGAAACCAGGGGGACCTCCAAGCTGGACTGGGAAAGGGTCCGCTCTGGAGGGTCGCTCTAAGACGGATCCTAAACTTGAATTCCCAGATGTTCCCAGAGGTTACATCCCAAAAGCTTCGGCCACTGAGGCCGCTAGAGAGGGCATCTGCGATTTGCAGTGTGAGAAGCTCCCCAGTCCCATGTTTGGGGACACAAGTTTATGGTCGGGGCTGCATGGAAGGGAAAAGGGATGTGTAAAGGGCTGGGGGGGGGGAGACCCGACACACAAGGTT